CATCCGGTTACATCTTCATACTTATCATCATCATTATCAGTTTCAATTCACCAACTTCTCATCTTTCATCAAAGAAGAAATTTTTCTCTCTTCTCATTCATGGAAATGATTTCCATGAATTATTATTATTCACCAGTCACCCTGAGTTTTCATCCTTGGAGCATAATTTTCATCTTGGATTGAATGTTGAGCAAACATTAACTGTTTATTTTTTTCTCTTTCAATTACAATGAATTCACTAGTATGTGTTTGAATTTCACCAGACTGAATCTTCATGGTATCAGAACTTATCTCTTTCCCCTTTTTACATGATGACATTGCGGTGAGAAATACAGAAAGTTAAACAAAAAGAAAACGATATTAAAAAATTTTTTTCCATCAAATAACATTCACCATAATTTCATGGTAATTTAAATTTCCTAGCCAATCCAATTGTATTCAATTAGCCTGAATCATGAATTATTATCAACATGAATGAATCGAAGGTAAAAAAAATATTCATTGTTACTCTAAGAACTTTTTTGCTTTTTCTCCTCTGAGAATTTACTTTCTATTTCCACTTCATCCCAATTCTAAGTTCAATCGTTGTTGTTGTTGTTTCATAATAATAGCTCCATGTTCATGGTGAGATAAGTTCTGAATGTATTTCTGAATTTCCCTGGTTGTCAATAACATTCACATGAAACTAATTGATTCGTTGGAGATTTTTTCTCTTCTTTATTTTTACTCAATGAATCTTATTGTCAGAACGAAATCTCATCAATGATCATCATCATCATGGTAATAATAATAAAATTGTTGGATAACATGATTAAGATGATATGATGATGATGATAATGATCAGAAGAGTGGAAGATAAAAATGAAGATGGAAAGAGAAAATATTTTTTCACTAACTCTCACTCTCTTTGTCTCTCTCATCTTGATCTCCACATGATGAATATCAGAATTTTTTTCCACCCTGAAACTACTCATCTTCCAGACATCATCAATCATTGTATCATAATCATCATCATGTTATTATTATATTAATTGTCCATGAAGATTTAGATCTGAAACAACAACAATAACTGGATAAACACAACAAATGTGATACATTAAATCAGTTTCATGGGGATCGTTATCATCATCATCATGATCAGATTGATGATGGAAACAAAATTTGATACAAAATAACAAGAAACTTACAGATTAGCATCATAAGATTTACTATTTGTAGGGGAAATAGATAGATTCATGATTCATCTCTGATAATGATCATTATATTACAAACATCTCAGGATGAAAACTACCACCATGAAACTAAACTCACAGGGAAACCTGAATCTTGAACAAGAATATATTAATAAATGAAAATCCATTTGCTGTATATCAATGATTTTATTAACTGTTGCCTTTTGTTATCGCCGAAAAAGTTACCAATAAGTTAATATTAATAATCACATCAACTGTTGATGACAATCAGAAAGTTATTATTAACTTGAAGATCTAATAAACTGTTATCATGATGATCTGAACTTTCATGGAGCTCAAACTTCACTAATATCTAACCCGAGATAATAAAAGTTACTCCCAGGTACCTACACTTGGGAGTAATGATAACGATTATGATGGGTAAGAAAATTACTAAACATTATGTAAATAGAGAGGAAAAATTTTCCCCTGATTTGTGAGGTTATTATGATATTCTGATCGATTCATGGATCAAGAATCTCTAATTCATGTAATATTTGGTTGATTTATTCTTTTACCAAAAGAACAATGAATTTCTTTGAGAGAAAGCTCTGATATCTTCTCTCTAGATCGCAAGATTTTATCGATACTTAACTGGACACTAAACCGTTTCATGTTCACATGAGTTATCATCCTGATAAGCTTTCGATAGAAACATCGGAAGTAACATGATGGCCCAGGAAAAAGGGGAAGAAAATGAATTCAATTGAAACGTCAAGAAGCAAAATCAATGGGATGAGAATCAATTATCTCGTTAGCTACCAGCAACATTGGAAACTCATTAACAATCTGATGGATTATTAACATTTCCACCATCATTGAAGATCATTAATTCTCATCATGAGAATGGAAACTTTGATAATTATAACATATCATCACCTCTCTCTTACTCACACTCACCACACCCCTCATTTTATTGACTCATCAATAATGTAATATTTAAGATAATCTCCATCATGATTGGTTATTAAAATCAAAGATTTAAATAGTTTCCTTCTCGATGGAAATCACCATGCTCTTGAGAGTTCCAAGTGTAAGAATTGAAAGTCAATAAATACAATCTAGAAGATCTTGAGAATGTTAGATTCAAATTATTGTTGGAAGTTTCGAGAATAGAGAATCAAAAAGTTCTGTATGATATTTTCATTTTGATTCGTTTTTGTTTTCACCCTGAAATGTTTTTCTCTTTTTCCATGTTTCCCTCAATTCTTATCTGTTGTTACCTTTTGTTTAGAGACTCTGAGATTATTCATTCAGAAAACTGAACATGATGTAATATTAGCATAAAAAAGAATCCATGTAATCACAATCATCATGAGATGATGAAGAAAAAGAAAATATCATGGCAAACAAACACAAGGTAAACATTGAACGTAAAAGTAAAACGATGAATTTAAATTCGATTTTAAATAAGCAGCAAAGAAAAGAGCAGCTTTCGAATGAAGAAGAAGAAAAAAAAGAGAATACGATTTTAAAACATCTCGAAAATAAGGTTATCAAAACTTTTATATCTTCGAATTCACTTGAGCATCCTCATCATTATCAGAATTAACTTTAGCCTTGTTCCTCTCAAGTTATTACGTTTTTCTCACTCCCAATTCTTAGTTACCTTATTGTAACTTCTTGCAACTCTTAATATCATTATTATTGTTTATCACAATTTAGTAACAATATGAAATATATATCATTAAGAATAACGGTAAAGAGTATAATTTTTTACGTTGTTTGTTATTTTCCACCGGTGGGTTCATCTTCATTAGTGATGGATGAAAATTGTTTCAGATGATTGGGTTAGAAGGTGGGAAAATGTTTACTATTGTTGTTTTTTATTCCTCCGCATCTTGAATAACGGTAAATGTAAATGTTGCTACATAATAATAAGAAAACCTCAATGTAATGATCAGCATTCACTAACGATGTATAGTTAGTTGATGATATTATTATTATTATTATCGTCGAGTTGATGATGATAATAATTTCTGATTAATTTTCATGAGAGAGAAGTTTGTTTTTTTTTACTTCCAAATTGGAAAAGTTCTGAATAGGAAAATAATTTTTTCCAATGATTATTATTATCAGAACTCTTTTTTAATCATGTTAATAAATAAAGAATAGGTTAGATTAACTAATGAATTTGAAGCTTGGTAATTAAAAAAAAACAAACTTTGAGAGGGAAAAGTTTGTAAAGTTGAATCTCTAAAAAGGTTGAAAGGTTTAATTGTGTGTGAGTGTGTTTATATTGATCCTCCGGAGACGATACAGTTCATGTTGATTCAGTGGCAAGAGATAATATAATATCACCATGATGAGAATGAAAAGTTTGTTCCTGATCACGAATTGAAAATGAAAATAGATCATCAATCATGGAGAAAGAGTGAAAAGAAAAAAACTTGGAACCGGCAAATAATTTATTTCCTTTTATATAACAGTAACTATTTTTTCCCCATCTTCCTGTTCACCACCAATGGTAATATTCATAACCCACCATGGCTCATATACACTTATACATCACCTTCACCATTCATATCCCACCATCGTTTCAATTATTCAAATGAAAACCATTCTATCAACATTTGGAAAACTTTGATTGTTAAAATTTAATATTAACTTTTAAAAAAACTTTTTCTTTGTTGTTGAAATGAGAGGAGAGAAAATGTAATTTTAACTGTTACCCAATTAATCATAATTAACATATTATTAATTTTCGTCATCATTTCCGTTTCCTTTTCTCATTTACCTCCTTTCAGCATCCGCATCAATTTACATCGCCAAGATAATAATGTTTACTTTTTTTCATACGAGAACAACTTTTTCTTTATGTTTGTCCCTTGTATTTGTATTGTAACATTTACTATTAGGTTAAGTTACTTTTCTTAATTAAATCTTATGTGTCTATATGTGATTAACTTAATTGTTATTGATACTTGGAGGGAATCATTTAAATCAGTCTGGTAATTAACCGTTACAAACACTAATTACATTTACATGTTACTTGGATACTTTGATTATCCTTACTAATTAACCTTGACCTTGAAATTGTTGTTACAGTTTAATCTGGTTACTATGAATGATTATTAATTGATAATTAGTTAATTGTGTCCAGGTAAAATTAATATCAAATTGTTTGTGATTTAATTTAAATATGTAAACAAAAATGACAAAAAGTTTTTTCTAATTTATGTAAATATTATAAAAGTAACAATTTTGTCAATCAAAAGGTGATGCTTTTTAATTGTTTCACTTTAATTAAATAACAATTGTTAATTACAATTTGATGTCAATAGTTTTCTATTACTTGACCTTAAGGGTCAACACTTGACATTAACATGTAGCTCTAACTGATTGTTTAGATGTTTTAATTGTTGCATCATGTTAATTGTTTATCGTGGTTAACATTTTAATTAAAAACAAGACAAGGTAAATATTGAATAGCTGAGTTTTCATCTCGATTCAAAGTCTCATGAAAATTAACATGATAATTTTGGGACAGAAAAAAAAGTTAAATTCATTATGCAAATTAAGATTTAATTATGATAATGATATTGTGAACATAATTGCAATTCAATTTAATCGAGCAAATTAAATTAACTAATAGAAACTAAAGTAAGAAGTAAAAATTTAATCAGATCGTTGAAATTTTAGATCTACATTTCAAGTGGAAAATCAAATGAGCTGAACTTTTGTTTCTATTAATACTTATTAATCATGAAGGTTGAATGAATTATGAATTTATATTCACTCGAGGGCTGAATTTAAGGTGAAACTTACCTATGGTGGAGCGGGTTGGTTGTTGCTTGATAGTGAAGCCAAGTGAGTGCTAGAAGATGAAGAACTGAGGCAAAAAACGACGAGAGACGACAAACTTCAAGAATAAGAACCCAGCATTCGGTGGTTCGAATCTCGAAAACAACGGTCAGATAGATGTTCAAAATTCCAAGGAAAGTTAAAAAAGATGCGATTCCATCGGTTGTCGCCAAGTTTAAAGATAAAATTAACATTGGACTAGCTCGTAATCGTCGGGTATTACGAACAATAACCAATAGTCCATTTAGAGCAATACTGACCAGTCCAGTTATCAGTAAACATGGACAGAAAATCTTATAAGAAACTGGTGAAGGTTGTGAACTAGAATTACCTGCAAGACGAGCAAGTAAAATGATACTTTCATTTGAACAGGTATCCATTGTTATTTCAGGTAAACTTGATTGTCACCAAATTGTTGAAATTTTAAATTATTGAATCACAAATGCACAACAATCATAATGAAAATCCAGAACTTTATGATGATGTTGATAATGAACAATCAGACTTGACATGAAATGGATCAGGTTATGTTAAGGTTAACAGGTAAGTGTCACTTTCAATGAGAGTCAAGGATCATAATGGAAGAGCGAGAGAGATAGAGTGAGAGAGAGAGAGAGTGAGTGAGAGAAAAGTTCTGAATAGAAATTTTTCCACCAGATCATGGAAGATGAGTAATGGAGGATAGGGAAGGAGAATGGACTGGAACGGATGATTCGAGTAAGAGATGAAAAATGATAAAGGTAAATATATTGAGAGATGAATTGAAAGATGATGATGATAAAGTTTTTTGTTCCGCCTCATTTAACATTGGAAATAACAAGGTATCCATGATGGAGTAACATGACTTCATTGAATAATATCCGAAAATCAAATATTAGATATTTATTTTTTGTTCTATTCTTTTCTTTTTCCTTCTTTATTTTTACTATTCACCTAAAAAGTTTGCTGTTATATCGTTTGAGATACAAATGAGATGGTGAAACAATCTTAACAAAAACTGAGTTCCAATTGAATCTGATCAGATTCTGGATTCCAAGTTTTCTGTAAACACAAGAAAAAAAGGGAAGAGAGGAAAGAAAAAAGTGAGTCTAATTTGTCTCCCATTTTATTCTATCATCTTCATTTTCTGTCATCTCTCTCTCTCTCTCTTGATCATGGCTATTCCTCTATTTCTAGCATTTTTCTTTCTTTTCTTACACTTTATTCTTCTCTCTCTCTCTCTCTCTCTCTCTCTCTCTCTCATCATTTCCCGTTTCAAGCTTGAACATTATTCCCACCATTTGGTGAGATGATGTTTCGCCTCGTGATGATCAGTGGGAATGGAGGATCAATGAGGAGGAGGAGGATGGAGAAGATGATGAAAGATACAAGAAAAAGTGACGAAGCCAAAGTTATCTAATATTATACTAATAATAATACATCATAATCGATTCCCTTTCAGGCATTTTCAGGGCAAAATTCAGTCTTTCAGATTTTTCTCTCTCTTCATTCACCATGAGTTTTGTCATTTTCATTTCTCTTTATCTTTCTCGTTCTCTTTTTCTAACTCTTTTGTCTCTTCAACTCGATTCTACGATTTCAATTCAATAAATCAAACGATAAAAAAAAGGTTGACAATCAGAAAGTAAAAATGTTCAGAATCCAAATTCGGGAAATATCATGATAATATAAAGTTTTTTGTCTCATCTTCCTCTCTATCATCATCATCATCATCATTATGATCCTTTTGGTTTAAAGAGGCAAAAGTAATATGGATCAAAATTATTTCATCTGAAATGAAATTTCATCAACTACCTCAAACTATCACATCTCTCTGAGTGTCAATTGAATTTGAATCTGTTACAGATTTGAAATTGAATTTCTCAAAAGTAATCAGATTAATCATCAATTCAAACTGAATCATGATCAACAATCATGTTAAATATTACGATCCATTCACCTTCAATCAAAACCAAAGAACAATAAAAGTTCAATTTAATGTTTCGATTTTATTAGAACTTTTCTCCTCCCTTTAACCCTACTAATTTTCATCTGAATAATTTCATGAATTAATTGTCAACTTATATAAATATAAACTTCTAATTGTTTCGATAACGATTATTGTTATCATGTTGATCTTTCAATAGATTGAATTTGAATTAGAGTTTAAATCCAATTCTTTCAACAGAACTTTTTTTTGGTCATCTTACTTCATTTCGAGAATATTTTTATTGGATAACTGACCATTGTCCAGAATGTGATTGAGTTTCCCTTCTGAGTCTTTTATATTTGCAGTATATTGAAACTCAGCATGAGAATCAAGTTAATTGTTGTAGTTAATTTAATTTACTTCGGATACACACAGATTTATAACAGAAAAATTGATTCACACTTGAATTGACTTCGCAACAATTAACTTAATCACTTATTGTCTCTTTCTCTTGAATTTTTTTTTATTCCCAAACCAATGAACTAACCAAACAAGGCTTCATGACCCATGTCCAGCAATTGAAATCTACTACTGACCACCAGTAAAACCTTAATTGTTCAACAGTTTCAACTACAAATCCCTTTGGAATCAACTATTTCCTGATTTTGAAAATTTATGTTTTACAAGATGAACTTTGCTTCCGTTTCCGTTTCAAATGCTTAACGAAACAATTGAAGCAAAAGTATTTCAACTGAGAGAAAAAAAATAGAATCAGATAAACAATCAGAACTTTATCGTTCTCTCTCTCTTTTTTTTCTCTCTCTCCCACCTCCACCCTATGAACCGAATCATCTAAAAGCATCATCATGGCTGAGAGAAAACACCAAAAAAGATATATATTTCAGAATCGAAAAGAACTTTTTTTCTTCTTATAAAACATCTTCAACTCTTTTTTTTCATCTCCGAATTCATGTAAAAAAGTTCAATCCTCATGATAATGATTATGATGATCAGAATCAAGGGAATCAGTTTTTACTTTATTTCCACCTCCTGATCCTCCTCTTGTTCACTTCCTAAACACAAAATCAGCATAATTGTCAAAACTTTGTCAGTTTCACTTGATATTACCATTCACAATTCAAATGGCAGCTATCAAGTTACAGAACCAGAATTACCATGAAAAGTTCAGAGAAAAAGAAAAGCAAGAAAAAATAGGGAACTGATTTTTTCTCTCTCTTGAAACTCAAACTTTGAATATTAACTTTGCCACATGAAGCATTTCTAATGAATTCTCATCCCTCTTATCAATTCAAATTCTGTTTCTAATCATAATCGACAACAATGAAATCAGGTTCATTTAATGAAAATCATCATCATCATCATCATAACTCAGACTCTGATTCAGGGTTCTCATGCTAAAAACACCAATTCCAATCAACTGGATAATATTAATCTATCCCAGACTAAATCTGAGTAAATGATCATCAACCTGATATGAGAGTAGTATAAGAGTGTACCCCTTAAATGCAGGTCGACTTAAATGCACTTATGACTTAAAATGCACTTTTTGAAAAATGCACATTTCCTGTCCTAGTAAAAAGAGTCGGTAATGTAAATACATGAACATTTGTCTCAAAATTTATGTGAATTTCAAATGAATAATGTAAGATTATCTGAGTGATTAAAGATTTGAAATGAACAACATGTATTCAATATACTTGAGACACCCATTCACAATGATGGTGGCAGGACCCAGTGGATGTGGAAAATCATTTTGGGTGAAGAGACTAACTGAAATAGAGAGAAAACAATAAGTCCAGTTCCAACATTGATACCATACTTTTATGCAGAGTACCAACCAATCTTTAACGAGATGGAAAGTGTTCAGTTTATCAAAGGATTACCAGACAATTTTTTTGATAAGATTGATGGTAAAAATCCACATTTAATAATAATTGATGGCTTGATGCATGAATCGTCTAACTCAAAAATAGTATCACAGCTTTTTACGAAAGGTAGTCATCATAGAAACCTATCAGTAATTTTATTAGTACAAAACTTTTTTGTTAAAGGCGGTGAGTCAAGAAATATATCTTTAAACTCTCATTATATTGTTTTGTTTAAAAACCCAAGAGATAAATTAATTTAAACAATGTTAGCTAAGCAAATGTTTCCCGGACGTTAATCACAGTTCAGACAAATATTTGAAAACGCAATAAGAAGCCCGTTTTTTCATAAAAAGTCTCAATTTGATTTATTGATTTACGAGTATTATTGATACACAAAAAATATATGAACATTAATTTACTTAGTATGTACACCTCTTTATCAGCTTTTTTTTCTTGTATACAATAAGACCACAGGTACAATTTTGCGGCTTAACATTTTTCAAAAAATCGTTGACTTTTCGCATTTCACCTTCAAGTGTTAAAGCGATTTTCATACCGAAATCACAAACGTTGGCACGATCAAGTTCTAAGGGTTTCAACAATCGAGCAGCATCATTACCAACACAGGGGGCTAATCCAGAGATATTAAAGCTGTGGATAAACAGTCTTAGGTCATCATCACTAGAGATGTTTTTGAAATGAAAATTTTTATAATCATAGTAACAGGCTTGTTTGGTGTCAACGTCAAAACCAAATAAACCGTCCATATTGTCAATCATGATGAACACTTAATAGATGAGAATTTAAAAGAATTTGTTTGTACTATTTAGTTGATCACCTTTTTACGTTAAAGATCAGTTGAAAAATGATACTCGAAGATGAAAGATTACAGTCTACCAAAAATTACTAATATTGTCTCGTGTTGGGACTTGTGTCGAAGTATTATTATAAAAGGTGCTTCAGGAAAAACAAAGAAGAGATTCAATGCCGATGTGATCAGAGATAAAGGTAAATGCTTACTCGTATTTGAATCAGGGAAAATTAATGCAACAGGATTTAAAACTATAACTTCAGCAGGTGCATTTGTTCAAAAGCACTTCCCTCTTGATAAAATTAAATTTGTAAGAGTTTGTAACTACGTTGCTTCAGGGAAAATTTTACCGCGAATAGATGTAAACATTTTTGTTAAAGCAAATGATAATGTTTCATATGAACCCGAACTTTTCAATGGTATCTATTGGAGGGATGGTAAAGTATGTGTTATATACTTTCCAAAAGGCTCTTACATTATAACCGGAGGTAAAACTAGAAGACACTTACGACAGATTTTTGAAAAGTTTTTCTCTTGTATCTCTTTTGCTATAAAAAGACCAGTAAATCAGGAAATCAATTCAGTTTAAAGTTTTCTCTTCATCAACGTCCAACAATATCATACTTAGTTTTCAACTTAAAAATCAATATGCCTGTTTTGACCTGGAGCTCATTAAAGCCAATTGTTATCAACCCTGATTTGAAAATCACCGTTTCTTATGGAGTAGATGAATTCGGAGATGTTACTTGTACACGTTCGGACATTCGGTTTTACTACAACAATCATCCGACTCGTAATGGACTGAACCTCAAGCGATGGGAACTTATTCATCTTGGGAGATACATTTCTATGATGATCAAAGGAACTGCAGATGAATTGGAAAGTATTGATGAGCTTTCTATCGTTAAGCTTGACTCTGGTGATCTTCAATGTGAGAAGAGGTATGCAAAGCTGAAGATTGAAGCTAAATACTTTAATATTCTGGATAATCTGATTCCTGGTATAGTCTTACTTAATGAATTCGTTAAAGATCCACTTGGAAAATATCCAGCTTCTTTATTACAACAAGCGTGTTTATTCTCTAAATTTATTGATGGTCAGAATAAAAGTCCTATGATGCAATGGGAGGAAGAAGAGTTGCTTGAACCCGGGAAGCTAACGGATGAACAAAAGAACACCATGAAAGGGAAAGCGGATGAACTTTTCAATTTTTACTCAGCTTCCTTTGGAAAGATTGACGGTTTGTCAACAGATTTACCTTCATTTGTGGAGGTAATTTCCTCTGGATTTGCAGGAAATCTTGCAGATTTTGCGAAAGAGAATAAGATAACGTTTCGCTCTCTAATTATTGTATTGAAAATGATTTGTGATTGATTGTATTCATTTAACTTTATGAATCGATTTAATAAACTTGATTTTAATTGAACTT